AAAAAATAAAGAAATTATGCCCAATTCAAACTGGTCTAAGCAAAAAAAGGAATTTGTTAGAGAAAGAGCAACAAGAACGAGGGCCTCAAGGACTGAACACTATTACCTCCCCCACTTTTCTTCTTTTTCTCATCTCTGCCTCTCTTTGCATGCAAGCATCATTTTTCTCCTATTACACAGGCCTTCTCCATGGGACCAGAACCCTAGAACCATAACTTAGCAACTCTGAGGCAATGCCACAGATTCTTTTTCCTGGTATCGAAATATGTAAGTCTCAGGGAAAGATTCTGATCAACCCTTCTTGGATTATGTTCCCACCTCTTAGATCCGTTACCATCACCAAGAGAATGGGGGTACTGGGATTGGCCAGGAATGTATAACATGCCAACTCCTGCAGTCACAGGGACATGAGCTGTTAGAGGAAGAGGGACTTGAAATCTTGCTGGGAAGACAAAAACCAAAAGCTGCCACTGTCTGTAAAACTACAAACCCAGTTTTCATTAACATCCTGTGAAACACGGTTGGAGGGATTAAGGAAAGAGAAGGGCAATGATCTCTTCTGCTGGCTCCTATAACCACAAGGCATGTGATCAGTGCCTAAGGCCAACATCCTCCTTAATGGACCCTTTCATGAAAAGCAAAGTAGAAAAACTCCACCTAGCAGCATGGAGGAGGAGCAAGTAAACTTGCCTTCTCTATTGGGTTATGGGTGGAAAAAAGAAATGATTCTGGCAAGAAATCAAAACACCAAGCCTGCACCACATGCAAGGGGCCAGCTTTTACTACTCATCTGGTTCGGGAATTCCAAGTTGAAAAATAAAAACTCTTGTAAAACCAGTGAAATCTCTGGGATCCTAGCAGATTTAGCAAATGCAAAACTGCTCAGTGGGGATTCTTCTGGATCCCATGGTATACAGTATTCTCACAGGAAAAAAACAATCCCCTTGAAGATGAGCCCTCAATAAAAATGAAAAACCCGACCGGGCACAGTGGCTCATGCCTGTAATCCCAGCACTTTGGGAGGCCGAGGTAGGCAGATCACGAGATCAGGAGCTCGAGACCAGCCTGACCAACATGGTAAAACCTTGTCTCTACTAAAAGTACAAAAATTAGCCAGGCATGGTGGCACGCACCTGTAATCCCAGCTACTCAGGAGACTGAGGCAGGAGAACTGCTTGATCCTGGGAGGCGGATGTTGCAGTGAGCTGAGATCATACCACTGCACTCTAGCCTGGGCGACAGAGCGAGACTCCATCTCAAAAAAAGAAAAGAAAAGAAAAAACCCATGAAGAACCGAATCACCATGAGGAGAAACAGTAGATGCACCAAAGAGAATGTCCTCCCAAGAACCAAAAATAATAGAACTATTTAAAAAGGAAAATAAACTAAGTACTTTTAAATTATCAAAGAGCTAAGAGAAGGACTAAAACCCAAAATGAAATAGTAAGATGCTATGAAAAAAGAATAAGTAGACATGCAAAAAATTGGCCCTCTGAAATTTTTTGTATCAATAAAGTAAAAACTCAAAGGATTAAATACAGAGACACAGCTGAAGGGAGAATTTATAAATTGAAAGGCAGCCCTAAGAAAATTACACAGAATGCAGCACAAAAATAAAAAGAGATGGGAAATATGAAAGAGAAGTTATAAAACCGAGAGGATAGAGTGAGAAGGTCCAACTTACATGTGATAGGCATTCTAGGGGATAAAACAGAGAATGGGAGGTGGAGGTGTCTGAAAAGACATATGAGCGTTTTCAAAAATTGAAAAATATGAGCCCTCAGATTGAAGTAACTTGAAGAAAATTTCCCATTTATCTATTTACCAGATAATTCTTGGATGTCAGGCCCTGTGCTAGGCTTGGCAGGTTCAATGATGATAAGAACTGACTAGGAGAAGGGCTGAAAGTTAGGGTTGGAAGCTGAATATTGAGGACCATATAAAATGAGGACCATAAAATAAGGACCAGCTGAGGATCATATAAAATGTGCATCAGCTCTCCATACCATCTGAACAAGGCCTAGAACAAGACCTGGCCAGGGGTTGCAGTGGGGCTGGGCTGCAGATGGTCAGGGTTCCCCTTACCTCACCTCTCTCTGTTCCTTTCTCCCCCTCTCCCTGTGCCCACATCTTGCTGCAGGCTCCCGGGCAGAGAAGAAAGCAGAGCCCCCACCTAGCAAGCCCACGGTGGCCAAGACGGGGCTGGCACTCATCAAGGATTGTTGCGGGGCCACCCAGTGCAACATAATGTAGCCCCCATGTGGGGTGCCCTGGGGCCATGGGCCCCCCCCACCCTCTTGTCTTTATAGCCCCCATTTCACCGGGGCCCAAGAGCTCTCCAAGGCAGAAGGGGTTGAAGGCAAGCCCGTGACTGTCGCCAGAGGCCATGGGCGCGGCAGGCGGGCCCGGCCACCCTGTACAGAGTGTAGCAGTAGGGAGTCCCTCACCGTCGCATGGCCCTCCCCAGAGCATGCCGAACCCAGGAGTCTGTCTCACTGTTTATCCAACCACCAGGAAAGGTCCTCCCTCAAAAAAGCGTATCTCCACTTCTCTCTAGCTGTATCTAACCCACCGTGTGAATGAACTGGGAGAGGGGCATGCTCCCCAGCTGTGTGTAGTTGTGACTTCTCAACAATCTAGCACCATGTCGGACACATCCCCCATCCACCCTCCTAGCTCTGCTCTCAGGCCTGCCCCACATGGGCATAGGTCCCCTCCCCTGTCTGTCCTCTCCCAACAACTGCGCCTGGAGGGCTCCACACAGCCCCTGTGTCTCTCCACCACCTCCTATATAGCATTCCCAGAGACCCAGAGGGCCCATCTGTAAAGATCAAGCTTGTGTGTGGCGTCGTGGTCACATCTCCTGCTTCCCCCCATCCTGTGTCTGGGCACAGTTCATATCAGGACAGTGTCCACTGTGCTCTCAGTCTGCCCCAGGTGTGTGCCTGAAGGGAGCCTGGACTGGCACGGATCCAGCTTGCAGAAGAGCCAGCAGGGAACTGGAAGCTCTGAGGTCAAGGCCAGGGCAGTTGAGAATGGGACCCAGAGTAGATGCTGACCTGGGCACTCCACCACTCCGGGGCCACCACAGAGATGCCAGCAGGACACCACTTCACCAGCCCGACACAGAGACCTCTGTAAAGAACGGCGACGGGCGGGAGAGGCAGCGTGTGACCAGATTGTGTCCCGTCTTTGGGTGGCGTATATTAACTAGCTGCCAAACACTTCAACCTGTGTAACTCCATGTACATTTGCGACAGCCAGCCCGGTACAGCCTGTGTGACTTCTCTGTGTGTGTGTGTGTCGTGACCGGCCTAAGTAGTTAGCATAACTCAAGATTCGCTGATGTGCAGTCACCCATCAGAGAAAATAAAAATGGAAACCACGTTCACGGCATTTTAAAAGTTTTTACTTTTTTTCTTGATTATGGAAGTAATCCATGTACATAGTAAATCATTTTAAAAGTACAAAAAGTATGAAGAAGTTTGTTTTTTTAAAAAAAAAAAACACCATTATTCCTCCAACTAGAGACCACTTTGACATTTCAGCATTTAAAAAAAGTCTTTTTTGTGCATTTTTTTCATCGTTGACATCATATTGTGATATCATTTATAACCAGTTTTTTCCCACTTATTATATCACCACCATCTTCCATATCATTAAAAGCTCTTTGTAAACATTAAACACTCTTCATAAATCATACCAATGTCTGTTTAGTAATCTATCTTTT